TTGTATTGTTATTTTCTGTCTATTCGGATCCAGACAGTAGGGTAGTGTGGTATTCTTTTAGATGTATATTCTACTAGTTGCCCGTAGCTTGTGACACCAGGTTCTGGCACACACTTTGGTAGAAGATTATTTTGGGGTTGTGTAATCATATTATTACAGTATTCAGTTCTCCTGGTTTAAATTCCAATTTGAGTGTTTATTTCACTTATTTTAATTAAAAGCAACATAAGTATTTTAGAAATATTTCCGCAATTGGCTTGCCTGACAAGGGTGTCAGGCGCCCTCATGACCTATTGTGAAAATGGGTCATGACAGATACTCTAAATGTTCCTGTATTTACTCAGCAAACAACAACAGATAGTGTACATGTTGTCGTAGCTACTGACTGTGATAGTAGTGAAGATGATGCAAATATTGAAAGTGTTGATAGTGATTATAATAGTGATGCCCTAGGTTTATTTGAAAGGCAGAAGAAGTTTGAGGTAACTGACCAACTTGATAGGTATAAAACATTGGAAAAGAGTATGTCTTTCAAAGATCTTGCTGAAGCTAAGGGGGTTATTAGTTATTATGTTGTTTCTAATAAGAGGGGCCTTCAGGTAGATAAGAGTGATAGGAGAAGACTTAGATACAAGTGTCATATTAGGTGTCCCTTTAAATGTCTTATTTCTAAGGATGACAGAGATCAAGGGGTAAAGATAAAAAGCCGGAGAGATAAACATGAATGTGGTAAAGTTTTTGAGAACAGAAGAGTTACTCCTGCTGCTTTAGCACATTATTTTAAGAGAAAGATTCAAGATAATCCTAAGTTTAAGGTTAAAGAGATGAAGGTTGATTTGGAGGATAGATTTAGTTTGAATGTGAGTGATTCAAAGTTAAAAAGGGTGAAGAGAATGGTTTTAGAGAAATTGGAGGGTAGTTACTTGGATGAGTACAACAATTTGGAGGCATATGCTTAAGAGTTGGGAGAAACCAACCCTGGTACTGATGTGGTGATACAAATATCAAAGGATGTAATAGAGGAAGGTAAGAGAAGATTTTGAGGATGTATGTCTGCTTGGAGGCCCTCAAGAGTGGATTCAAAGCAGGTTTGAGACCTTTTATAGGTCTAGATGGAACCTTTTAAAAGGCAAATGCCAAGAGATGTTGTTAGTTGCGGTTGCTCAAGATTCTTGCAAACATGTGTATCCACTAGCTTGGGCTGTGGTGGATAAGGAAACCAAAAAAACATGGCAGTGATTCATGGAGAACTTGAAGGTTTCTTTGGACTTGAAAGATGGTGAAGGGTATACATTCATGTCAAATATGCAGAAGGTATGTTACCATATGCTCCGAATTTTTCTTCTTCAAGATTATATTATTTAGTTTGTTAATGTAATGTTTATTCATGTGCAGCGCCTATTAGATGCCGTAAGGAATCTGTATCTACAATTATGCCACAGATATTGTGCAAGACATATTGAAGCAAACTAGAGCAAAGATTGAAAGACTGATGAGATGAAAAAATTAATGTGGTGGTGTTCTTGGAGCACATATGAGGAAGAATTTAAAGATATATTAAAACAGTTAGGTGAAGTGTCTAAGGATGCTGTCAGGGACTTGCAGAAATATCCTCCAGTAAGCTGGTGTAGAGCTTACTTTGATACCCAATGTAAGAACCCAATGGTTGGACAACAACTTTACAGAGTCTTTCAACTCTTGGGTTCTTGAAGCTAGACATAAGCTAATTGTGAAGATGCTTGAGGATATAAGTGTAAGGGTAAAGTGTACTGTTAATTTGTTCATTTGTATACTGTTGACTAGTTGACTAACTGCTTGTTTACTGGTTGATAATTGAAGTTGATGAATCAACTAAAGGATAGAGCAGATGAAGTTAGCAGTTGGAGAGGTGCATACATCCCATATGCAATGGAGCTATACAATGATTATAGAGAGATAGCTTCAAAGTGCAAGGAAAATTTCAACGGAGATAGGGGTTTTGAAATAAGTGAAGGTAAAGACAGACACAGTGATTCTGGAGCAACAAAGGTGCACATGCAGACTTTGGGACTTGTTTGGAATCCCTTGTGCTCATGTTATCAGGGCATTCAACTATAAGAAACAAGACCCAACACTTGGGATTCACTGGTGGTATTCCAAACAAGCTTGGCAGTTGGTGTATAAGCACAAACTGCAACCTGTTAAAGGTGAAAAATTCTAGAAAGTTGAGCCACACCAAGCCATGGAACCACCACCATTAGAAAAGATGGTAGGTAGACCTAAAGTGAAAAATTCAAGAGAGGAGGATGAAGATAGAAAAAAGCAAGGAGAATGGTCAACTTCTAGGAAGGGTCTTCAAATGACTTGTGGTTTTTGTGGCAAGCCAAACCATAATAAAAGAAGTTGTCCATTAGCCAATAAGGTATACTTACAATCTAGTGTTTGTACTTACAATTTGTTTTTTGTACTTATAATATACCTTTTATACTTACAGTCCAAGAATCAAAAATTTTCATGGCCCCTAATCCGAGTTTTAAAGTGCAAGACCAACAAATGCCAAGTCAGGCTAGCCAACCAAGTCAGCTGTCCAGTTATCAATCCAGTCAGCACTTCAGTTAGTACACTCAGATGCCAAGTCAGCAATCTAGTCACTACACTCAGTGCCAAGTCAATAATCCAGTCACTACACTCAGATACCAAGTCAGCACTCCAGTTAGTACACCCAAGCAACTCAGATGCCAAGTCTGAATATTCAGACCAGAAGAAGGCTTATTCAAGCAGACTTTGGTACAGAAGTTGACTCAGTTTTGAGGTCTAAGGTTGTCTCTGATATTAAGACTAGATTTCAGCATAATAACCAACAAAATTCTGGGACTAGGAAGATACAATTCATAGAGGATCACTGGTAGCTCACAACCAACAAAACTGCCATACTTCCCAAAGAGAACTACCTGAAAGTGAAAGGAGGCAATGACAACAGCTCAACTATTGGGTGTAAAAGAGAAAAGGATTGGTAAACTTAATGCTAGAAGAGGCAAGGGGAGGGGCAAGGAGGAGTAGTGTAACAAAGAATGATGAATGTAACATACATTTAAATCCTTTCTTTGCATGACTGCTCGACTACATAATGTTTGTGCATGTTCTGGGTTTTTAGACAAGTAAATTTTCTGATAGTGGTACAGATTTTTGGATCACACATAAACTTGTCTAATATCAATATTTTGTTGGGCTTAAATCTTGAAAAAATGTATGTTTGCTGCTCGATTAATGGCAGTGTTCTTCTTGTCTATCTACAAGAGTATTCTATTTGACTTAGTGATTTTCCGTGTATGCAAAATGTTGTATGAGAGTGAAGAGAATGGTATAAACTTTATTTCATACTAACAAAGAACCATTACAACTGCAACATTACAACATTTGCAGAATTACAACATCTGAAGCAAATCGATAAACATCTACAAATTACAACATCGTCAAATTATAAAATAACGTAATTACACTACATCATCTTGAAAACTAGCACCAACACAAAGACAACCCAAGAAAACACAATAAACCACTTCATCATTTGTAGTTTATCCTCCATCCTAGCGACATTCTCTAAGTTTGCTGAATTAATTCTCCATCTCTTCAATTATTTTCTCCATTTTCAGTCTTTCAGCAGAAACAACATCTTCCAAGTTAGCCACCATCTTCTTTAGATAATTTCTTTTAACTTCCACTGACTTTAGTGAAGTATTCAAGTTATTGATTAACAATGTCACATGCAGTGGCATCTCTTCATCCCTTCATTCCCACAAACCACATGAAGCTTCCTCGTCAAAACAAGGGCATTTGTAGAATCGACGGGCACCGTTCAAATGAGTCTGAGCCACAAAATGATTTGCAAATAAATCACAACCACAACGACGCGACGAACCAGAAGAGACGGAATTTTCAGACATTTGAATTTTTGTTATTCAATAATGACGCAACTTTTACAGCCAACCACAAGATTCGAAGGAAAAAGACAAGAATTAATTAGTTGAAAAAGAGAAAGGAAAGAAGATTATATGAGCAACCTGATGATCTAGGTTCTAAATTGGAAAAAAAGGCGAGTAAAATATGTGGGTATAGGGTTAAAAGAGTGGGTATAAGGTAAGAAGAGTGTGTCAGATCGGTTAAATGGGTCGAAATTTACCCAAATACATTTTCAGCCCCACTGAGCCATGTGGCAAAATGAAAGAATCCCCCATCACTTAGTGAGAACCCACATGAAGTGCAGTTAGTCGCGGAAACAATTTTGACAATAGAATTAACGTCTTATATATTTTCAGACGGGTAGATAGACGGGGGTTTTTATAAACCAATTAGCATACGATAGCGGTACTTTACGCTTTCCTGAGCCGAGGGTCTATTGGAAACAACCTCTCTATCCTCACAAGGTAGGGTAAGGTCTGTGTACACACTACCTCCCCAAACCCACGATGTGGGATAATACTGGGTATATTATTGTTGTTGTTGTTATAGGGTACTTTAAGATCTTTTCCGAAATAACAATGCGTGTACACGTGTGGGTAAAAAAGTTGATTCTTCCACTTGCATAAATGTAAGTACATCCCATCGTCAAACATGAAGATGCGTGTATTCCTCTCTTTAAATAGTTTTGTTTATTTGATTTGTTCAGTTAGTCCCTTATTTTTCTTTTTCCGTTTTTTTGTTGTTGTAAATCTAGGTCCTAAAAACTCTATTTCGTTTTTTAAATGTAACATGATACAAAAATATTTAAAAAGGAGGTTGATAATCAAAATGAAAAATATACATTATCGCATTAATTTTGAGATAGGATGAGAAGAATGTCTATAGTTTAAAGCTCGAGGGAACATTTGATTTTAATAAATAATTTTTTCCCAATTAGAAAGCCATTTAATAAGGTTCCATTTTATGTCCATGAATCTCCGTGGAAAATAAGGTAAATAAATTCGCTTCAACACGGGAAGAAAAACACCAAAGTAAAGAAAAGAAGAGGAGACAACTGTATTTTACCCTACTAATGTTTTCTTATTTTCAATTTAAGGGTTTAAGGAAAAAAAAAACAGAAGGGAAACGTTGTAAAACCCTAAACCCTGTCCCTGCTCCGCCCTCAACCCTCCTTCAGTGAACTGGCGCAAAATTCTTTCTAATCTCATCCTCTGATAATTTTACAAATAGTGGGTGTTTCTGAATTTCACTGCTCAAACCCTAGGAAGAGACTAAAATGGCGTCAACGGCATTGAAGAAAAGTTACAAGTGTGTGCAGTCTCTGCAGCAACTCTACACAGGCGGGCCTTACGCTGTAGCTTCGGATAATTCGTTTCTCGTATGTGCTTGCAATGACACAATAAAGATAGTCGATTTATCAAACGCTTCAATAAAATCGACCATAGAGGGTGATTCTGAGCCAGTGACAGCTCTTGCTCTAAGCCCTAATAATAATTTCCTCTTTTCTGCTAGTCATAGCCGACAGATTAGAGTTTGGGACCTTTCCACCCTCAAATGCCTACGCTCCTGGAAGGTAAAAATCTTTAACTTTCAGCTTTACGTGTTAAAATACAGGTTATTTAGTTGTGGTATGGGCCGAGGGTCTATTGGAAACAACCTCTCTATCTCAACAAGGTAGGGGTAAGGCTGTGTACACACTACCCTCCCCAGACCCCACTACGTGCGATTATACCGGGTCTGTTGTTGTTGTTAGTAGTGGAATGAAGCGTGCTTTAGTGCTATAGCGGAATCATAGGGATTAAGTGGGTTTTTATTGTAGTTCCGAACTGCCTAAGTTTTGGCAGGTGGAGTTACTCGTGCTAGCAGGAGGTATCAAGTTACCCGTGACAGTAGGAGGTAGCAGTTATCCGTGCTGGTAGCAGGTTGCAAGTACGCGTGTTGGTAGGAGGTAGTAGGTACCCTAGGTACTCGTGCTGGTTGAAGGTAGCAAACTGGTTGGAGGTAGTAGGTACCCGTGTTGGTTGGAGGTAGCCGGTACCTTAGGAGGTAGTAGGTGCCCGTGCTGGTAGGAGGTAGCAGGTACTCGGTGGAATAGTCGACGTGTGTACAAGCTGGCATGGATACCGCCGTCATAAAAAGTTTTTATGTTTCTTTATAGGTGGGATAACTAGCAGAGAATTTGGTGCTCTTTTGGAACTTGAACATTGACAATTTACTTTTACAGGGGCACGAAGGACCTGTGATGGGGATGGCTTGTGATGCATCAGGTGGATTGCTGGCAACAGCTGGGGCTGACAGGAAAGTTCTCGTGTGGGACGTCGATGGAGGCTTTTGCACTCATTATTTCAAAGGTCACAAAGGGGTTGTCACAAGCATTATGTTTCATCCTGACCCGAATCGGCTGCTGGTGAGATTTTATGATTGTTATAGTTAGTGGCTTGCTTCCTTGTCACATTAAAGATGTAAACGAATTGCCTTGTTTCTTTCAGCTAACTGTTTATAGAAAGCAGGGCACATTTGTCAATTTCTTGGTCCATTGGGATTTTCGTGTTCCAATTTGTTTTGAATGATTTTTTTTTGTGTTTTCCTTTGAACATATTCAAGGACAGGAAGTATTTATGTGTTATATGGATTTGGCTACAGGTGCATTGCCAATATGCATGTGTATAAGTATCCCGTATGGCTCCAAGCATCTTTTATTTAATTTTAGTGTATTTTAGAGAATCACACCAAATTAAAAAATCAAATGCAAAATACTTTAATCCCATTGTCACTGGCAGTGTTGTGAAGAGCGTGAAGCGGGGAAAAGCGACAACCCTCATTTCACTTAAAGCGAGAAGCGAGTAGCGAAGCGCTCGCTTTTTTGAAGTGAAGCGGAATTTAAAAAAAATATTAAAATAAATTCTGTTAAGAGGAAGGGCGGTATACCATTCTGTTAAAAACTGGGCAGCATAAAAACAGTGAAAGAAGAACTGAGCAGCATTTCAACGAAGAGGATAAGACTGAGAAAGAAGAACCGAAGGGAAAAAACATTCGCCAGCATTTTGCTGCTATTTGGACGCTGAAACAGTGAAAAAAGAAAAAGAAGAATAAGAGTGTACAAGACTTGGAACCCTAGTCGCCTCTTTCTCTCTGTTGCTGCTGGTAGTATGTTTTAATAAAAAAACACCTTTTTTAATTAAATAGGCTGGCAGGTGTTTAAAACAGAGAAGCGTTCGCTTCGGTCGCCTCGCTTCGCTTCGTCGCTTCTCGCTTTTTAGTGCGAAGCGCACGCTTTTGCCTACCTGAGTCGCTTCATATAGCAGAAGCGGTCATAGGGTCGCCTTGCTTCGCTTCTCGCTTTAAGCGAGGAAGCGACCGCTTTTCACAACACTGGTAACTGGAATAGTAATTTTTTACATTACAAATTGGACGCCAAGAAAGCTGATTCATTCTCCTAGGTTTTATTTTTGTGTCATTTTCTTTCAAAAATTTTAAATTTGATTCGAACGTCCACTGCGCTTCATCATCCTATGTGAATTTTACCTTGCCGGTCCTAAACCTGGATAAAGGATGAGGGTTGGAGACTGCGGAGGGTCAACAACCAGCGAAAAACTAGTCGAGTGATGATAAACCCTCACAATAAGAATGGATATAGAGGATTCACATATTCGGCTTCAATTGAGATTGAGTATTTGTAGTAGTTGTTGTTGTTTAAGCATATCCAATTTCTTCATGATTTTCTAATGGTCTCTCATATTCCTGTTTCTGCTGGGAATGGTGACTCTTTAACAAGTCCATCTCAGGCAAGGCTTTTGTCTAGTAGAGGTTTTTATGATATTCGAACTTTCAAGACTGAATAGGCAATCATTATGCAGTCTGGTGACTCTTGCTATATCATGTAGACGTGAAGCAAACTGCATTTTGGGTTAGGTGTTAGAATTTAAAGATGAAAAAGGAAAGTCGTAAAAAACCTTCCCCTTTTTTGTATCAGTAAAACCTTCCCCTTTTTTTGTATCAGTAAAACCTTCCATTTTGTTTTTGAAACAACAAATAAAAACCCTCCCATTTTTTTGAGCTAGTATAGTTTTTTTTTCCAACATATTATTGCTACTACCTACCCCCCTTTACAATAGCTAGCTATCAAGTAATTTTTGTGCTTCTTCTTCCCCATACTTGCTAATATAAGTTTCTTCTAGTTATGTTGTGGGGGACATGCTAAATTCTACCCTTTTAATCTCTGGGTTATTTGGAAAGAGAGGAATAGAAGGACTTTTGAAGGTGTGGAACAAGATTCTGTAAAATTGCAAAATAGTCTTTTGTTTCTAGTTTCTTTTTGTATAGAGGATTGGGCCTCTTCTTATTGAACTAATTGGCTCAGCTTTTTGTATTTGTCTATAGCTGTTCTCTGGTGGTGATGATGCTTCCATAAGGGTCTGGGATCTGACGAGGAAGAAATGTCTGTCAACACTAGAGAAACATCAATCAGCTATCACTTCCATGGCAATATCTGAAGACGGATGGACTCTGCTTAGCGCAGGGAGAGACAAGGCATGTTCTCCTTTTTACTTTATCTTTTTCTCCCACTTTATATCTAGTGGGGTAGGTTGAGAGAAAACTAATTGTTGCTAAGGTCATAAATAAAGTAACGAGGATTAGAAGGAGCTTTACCCATCTTGTGATCTTTAAAAGATGAATCCAAGAATCTATACAGAAAGTAATAGCCTGCATCAATCTATAAGCCAGTAACTGTCCTGACAGAAGTCTCTTTTCCGAAAAAGAGAAATCTGTGTTTCCAAATTGATATTAAGTTATCAACAAAGGGAAGGTCGCCTTTCGAAGATAAGGCATGAACATATTCCTAGCAATGAATTGAACTCCTTTTTCCTTTTGGTTTGGTAGAAGAGTTACATGTGAAGTACACTTAATAAAATTTGATTCAGAGGGAGATGTGAAGTCAATGCCCCTATTCTGGAATGGTTGCTACTTTAACCATTACTATATCCTGGCCTTGTTGAGGACCAGGTAATTTTTTACACTTTACCATGCTTGGCACAAATCTTTCTATTTGTCGTACAAGAAAATATTAAAGAATATCATTCATAGAGTTGTTAGATGACCTATATACATGCTAATGAGACTTTCAACCATGCATATTACTTATCAAATGTTTTTGTTTCAAGTCATCAACTTGGAAGTGCTCTTTTTTTCCGATTCTTCTTCACGAGGACACCTTGAGTGTCAGTTGAAGCACTATCTGATACTAAGATTAATGACAGGTTGTAAATTTGTGGAACTTACATGATTATGGCTGCATGACCACCATACCAATGTTTGAGTCACTTGAAGCCCTGTGTATAATTGGTCCAGAATCTCCCTTTGCTGCATGCCTGGCTTCATTGACACATCCACAGACAAAGAAGAGAAACAATGTACCATCAATTAATTTCATCACTGTCGGTGAACGGGGATTAGTACGGATGTGGAGTTCTGATAGGTACGTGTCAATCACTTAAAGTTCTAAAAAGGATCTAGCATTCAAAGCAGTCGAAACTTGAAAGATACAGCAATTCAGCTCTTTAGTTGCATCTATTGTTTCTAAGTGTTCTCTTTCATTGTTGATTATGCTTGATTATGGTAGCCATTTCACTCATGTGATTCCTGCAGTTCTGTTGGAACTAACATTGTTATATTTTCCGACAGTCATAAAAACAAAAAGTATTATAGATCCTGCTCTAGCATTCAAGGCAGTCGAAACTTGAAAGATACAGCAATTCAGCTCTTTAGTTGCAACAAATTGTTTCTAAGTGTTCTCTTTTATTGTTGATTTCTCTTGATTATAATAGACATTTCAGTCAAGTGATTCCTGCAGTTCTGTTGGATTATTAAATTCTTTAATTTTCTTTTGCAACAGGGCACTGTGCCTTTTTGAGCAGAAATCCTCTGATATTTCCGTAAGCTCTGACAGCGAAGATTCGAAGAGAGGCTTTACTTCTGCTATGATTTTGCCTGCAAGTCAGGAGTTACTTTGTGTTACAGCTGACCAGCAGTTTTTTCTTTATTATCCGGAGGAATTTGAAGGTAGTCTGAATGTAGTTCTTAGGAAGAGGTTTGTTGGATACAATGAAGAGATTGCAGATATGAAATTTTTGGGTGACGAGGAACAGTTCCTTGCTGTTTCAACAAGCGTAGAGCAGGTCAGTTCTGCAATGCTTTCCTGGGTTTAAATTATTGCATAATGTATAGAATACTGCACATAGTTGTAAGGTTTTTGTGGCCCATCTTGAAGTTGCTCTTCAGCATTTGACATCCTTGAATATCTTTTTCCAAAATTATAATTTATTGACTTGTGAGAGGAGAAAATTGTTTAATTGAATTTGGCTATTAGCTATCAAAACCATGTTATGGTGATATCTTATTTGAGAATTACAGGAATTATGTACACCAGGTTTATTATCAATTGTTTAGCAGTACTTTTTGGTTGGTTAAGGGGCCTCTAGCCTTTATTGGGCTCATGTTGAGGATATTGCTGTCTGCTCCATTGTCATTTGTTGTTTCATAACTGATCTGCATTTTTATATACTGAAGAGAAAAATGGTGTAGAAGAGATACTACTGTTTGCCTGCCATATTTGGTTAAAATTTTGCATTTTTATTCAGAGCCTTGGCCTCCATTTCCAACAAATTTACTGAACCTGTGAACATTTATCATTTATCAAAACGAACTAGTGAGAAAAGACCCGTCAAAATGTTCTACTTTAAAATTTGTTCTTACCATTATATACATTTTGAAGAATATGAATGAATACGAATTGAGTAGATTCTTTCATGTAACATACAGTGTCCTAATTCGAATAGTCCAACTCGTTCTTTGTCTTATTTTACAAGCCTCTTATGTGACTAGAAAGATAGCATACAAGTCTAGTACTCCTTTTAATTTCTTTTTATTTTATGTGGCACAAGGATTAAGAAATTGATTTTTAGGCTGTAATACTGGTGCATGTATCAAAGTAATAGTTGGAATTTACTTTTGATAAAGCAGTCATCACATCACAGTTTAAGTTGACTCTTTCCTCAGGTTCTAAAACATTTCATATATACAGGTGCGAGTGTATGATCTTACATCAATGTCATGCTCTTACGTGTTGGCTGGGCATACTGATGTTATTTTGTGCCTTGATACCTGTGTATCAAGTTCTGGAAGAACACTTATTGTGACGGGGAGTAAGGACAACTCCGTAAGTCTGTCCTATCTCTTTCTGCTCTTTAGACACATGCAGCATTTGATGTACGCTTTTAATCTTTATCTGCCTGGTTACAAAGATCGTACTTTGCTATGCAAGATTAGTACCAATTTTTTCTGCTTCTGATTCTACTGTTTCAATAGGTTAGGTTATGGGATTGCCAGAGCAAGGCTTGTGTTGGAGTTGGCATAGGTCACATGGGAGCTGTCGGAGCTGTGGCTTTATCAAAGAAACAACGGAACTTCTTTGTGAGTGGTAGTAGGTAAATGATTATATCCCTGAACGCTGTAGTGGGCATACCCTTCTTCTATAAATTTGTATTGAGAACAGGATCTGTCCAAATTAACTTTTCAGGAATCAAAATTATGTGACCTAGAAATCTATTTTTAGCTTCAATGTTGAATTTTAGCTCACAAATAGAATTCATAAAGGCACAATTTATCTTGCTTTTAGAATTAGTTGATAATCAAGTCTTTGACATGACCGTCCTTTAGTAGAACTCTTTTATAAGAATTAAAACTATTGTGTTATACAAAGAACAAAGCCCCAAAAGAATACTGGCGAGTGTCGCTGTCTATCTCCTAAAAAATGTTTTTGCTGGTGTGAGCATGCATGATGTAAAGTGACATTTTTCAGATCTGTGTCATTTGGCTCTTGAGTGAGTGGATTTAACTCCTTGATGCGTCAGCAATAATTCTCTTTCTGAATTATAGTGCTCAACCTTTTTAATCTAGTTATACCACTGTGATGCTTCTGCTTCCTTGATATTTGAATTATGTACCTGTCATGAGGATTTGGCACTGAGTCGAGTTTGCTTACAGCTTTGTTGACCTGAGTTGATATTCTTTTTTACTGGTTGAATGCAAATAAACATTCACTGTCCTGTATCTGCGTACCTTCTTCTTTTATCCTTGGACCGTGTACTTCATCTTTTTAGGCTTCAATATCTGTTACAAGATGTTGATTGTTGAAGCCAAATGATCTGAAGTGTTCCTAATCATATCTTCTAGAAATTATATCTTTGATCTTTCTACGTTCCTTCCAGTGACCGTACGCTAAAGGTATGGCATTTTGATGGTGTCTCTGACAACAATGAAGAAGTCCTAACTTTGAAAGCAAAAGCAGTTGTAGCAGCACATGACAAGGATATTAACTCTTTGGCAGTAGCACCAAATGATAGTCTTGTTTGCAGTGGTTCCCAGGTTTGTAAGATTGGGACATCTGATTAAATCGTGGCATAAAAAAATCTGCTGCAGGAGAGATATTATCATCTCATGCTTCTTTTATATTTTCTAAAGCTTTCATCGCATCTCCTCATATTACTAGGATCGCACTGCTTGCATATGGAGACTTCCAGACCTTGTATCAGTGGTTACACTGAAAGGGCATAAAAGGGGGATATGGTCTGTTGAGTTTTCTCCAGTTGATCATTGTGTGATAACAGCTTCTGGAGACAAGACGATAAAGATATGGGCAATATCTGACGGATCATGTTTGAAAACATTTGAAGGGCATACGTCAAGTGTGTTAAGAGCAACATTTCTTACCCGTGGCACCCAGTTTATTTCTTGTGGTAATATGACATTCTGGAAGCCATTGTAGCTTTATTTAAGTGTTGATATGTCTGTTTCGCTAAAAAGTATGACCGTGTCTCCAGGTGCTGATGGTTTGGTGAAGCTGTGGACAGTTAAGACAAATGAGTGTATTGCCACATATGACCAACATGAGGATAAGGTGCTCAAATTTTTATGTTATTTATTTATGTCCATTCACTTGAAAAAGAGCATTACATTATCTCCACCTTGGAAGATCCAATTCTTCTGAATTAATGAGTATAAACCTGCGCAGTTAATTTGGTTTTTGACCGGTGCCATTGGCCATTTATATATCAATATTTGAGTGATTGACCAAAGATTCAATGAATGCTTTTTTCCAACTGTCGTTTGAATTTGACATTTTCATGGCAACTGAGGAGCAAAGTTTGGGTCCTGGCCTGTTGATTGACGAAGTGGCTCTCCAGTTTCTATTACCTGCAGTTTAAAATGGTACTGAAATTTGAATGACGCGGACGATTGGGACGAGAAGCTCTGAGGAAACCTTAAGAAAGCATGCATATTCATTCTCAAGTAGAGCTCTTATGGACTTGGCATATTCTGGCATGTTCATGTGTACTCTGCATGAAATTACTTTATTTGTTGCTGCTTTCTGGTACCGCATGTTATTAGGTCTTTGAATTTGGTTGTAAAATCTCTCTATTGGGAGATTGTTGGCTATTTGACCGAATAATTTCGTCTTGCTTCTGGTTTGCATCATCTTTACAATGATAGGTTAGCGAAGATAGCTAGTTCAGTAGTTTTATACATTGTAAAGTTGCTGACAATTTTACTGTTTTCTTACAAAATGACACTAGTTCATTTTCTTCTCAGATATTTGCCACACAGATGGGATTGGTAATATCTTTTTTTCTCTCTAATTTGCTATCCAGATTTGGGCCCTGGCTGTTGGTAAGAAAACAGAAATGCTTGCAACTGGCGGTGGTGATGCGGTGATCAATTTGTGGCATGACTCAACAGCTTCTGATAAAGAGGAAGCTTTTCGGAAAGAAGTAAGTAGTCATATCAATTTTCTCTTGAAGTGATATTCATCGAACAACATTGTTGGGCGTTGATGAAAAATAATTCTGCCAAGGCATAGTTTCTGTGGAAGAAACTTTGTTAATGGGCGTCTTTATGCCCCAGTGAGGTCCTGATGGCTTGATTACGTTGAACTTCTGTTTCCCAAATGTCTAGAGCAATTCTTGAAGAATGCTGCTTTCTCTCGAGCTTCGTAATTGAGTCAAGGAGTACTTCCAGTTAGTTTTATCAGACTAACAGTATCACCTTTTACTTTTCTTATGTCTTTTAAAACTTTTGAGTGATCATCTCAAAAAGTTCTGTGAACAATTCAGGATGCCTATGGTTCCACAGTCATATTAGTATAATTGATTTAGTTAATTAGTTGCTATGAGCTGTTATTTTATTTGTGTTTATTACTATATTTTACGAAGGAGAAGAAGATCCGGTCTGTTTCTGATGTGGTTGTGTCTGAAAAATTACTACAGAACTTCATGTGATGATATCAATATGTTGCTCATGCAGGAGGAAGGCGTTCTAAGGGGTCAAGAGCTAGAAAATGCTTTAATAGATGCTGAATACACCAGAGCAATTCAGATTGCATTTGAGCTTCACAGACCACACAAACTTCTAGAGTTATTTGGCGACCTCTGCAGGTAGTCTTGACCTCTCCATTTCTTACCTTTTCTCTTAGTGATGGCTCTATTTTTGTGTTCCCTTTTTGGTTATTGATGGTGCAAATGCTATTGTACCACGACTTTCATCTAACATCTAGCTCTTGGCAGGAAGAGCGATGCGCAAGATCAGATAGGAAAAGCAGTAAAGGCTCTTGCTAAAGAAGAGCGTCGCCTGCTTTTTGAATATGTCCTGGATTGGAACACGAAGCCAAAGTTTTGTCATATTGCACAGTATATTCTTTTCCGGGCATTCAGTGTTCTCTCACCTGCCGAGATTCTCGAGGTACCATTGTGTCTTCCCCTTAAATGTACATGGAAAGTTCGGTCACAAACGTAGAAAAAGAAACTGTTAAAATTGGTACATATTCTAGAAGATTCACCATGCCAGCGAAGTCAACTAACTGGTCGGTGAGAGCTCCAGAAATGTTTTTCCATTGCTTCAACGGGCCTTCAAATTGTTATTATATCACATGCTACAATATCTATCAAGAAAATGATTGCATATATTAGCTTCGTGTATTGGTCTTTTCAGTGCTCGAATTTTTTTCTTTATAGCAAGAAAGTCCATTTAGTTGATTGGCTACTTGATATACTTGCTTGATTAGACATACATTAGACTTTAGCATGTCTAGCTGTCAATCTCTTGGTGCTACTCTATAATGCTATGCTGTGCTCTAGGCACCACTTTTATCCGTTTTGCTATATTTGGAACTAGTTTGCTTATCTAGTGCTTCCTTGAGAGATCTTACGGTTTTCCTTCTCATTATACAGATTAAGGGTATTGGAGAACTGCTTGAAGGTCTTATTTCTTATTCTCAGAGGCATTTCATTAGAGTAGATAGATTAGAAAGAAGCACGTTCATGTTGGACTATACTTTAATTGGAATGTCGGTCATTGAGCCAGAAGGTAATGAGGGGAGATCAGAGGACAAGGATGCTAGACTTTCTATTGGTCTCGCTGGCGAGCAGTTAATTGAGTTTGATTCAATGGAGCAAGAGCAGCAGCATAAAGAAATGAAAGAAAAAAAATCTTCAAAAAAGCGAAAAAACAAATCAAGAGATGCCACTAGCAAGAAAGTGAAGGGGTTGACTGACACTTAAGATTCAGTTATAGCATCAGTGGCGTAAGATGTTGCTATTCTGATGAACTAAGCGAGTTGCATCCCTTTGTTGAGCTTGATGATTGAAAGGGGTTGAGCCTTGGTGTTGCTGATCTTCATTGAAAGGGGTTGCACGTGCAAAGTGCGGAAATCTCTTTGCCAGGAAGGTCTTTTCCTCTGCCCCCAAAAGATTTTGGATGCTAGCCATAGAATACATCAGCAATTTTTAACTACTGTAAAGATTTTGGACTGCAAAGGAAAAATTTTCGACACTGGAGTGGAAGTTACCTTGACCCCTCTCCAGTATTTTCAGGTTATTTATTGATATTTCAATTTTAAACTGAGTTTTCTTTGTAACTTTATAAGAAACATATTTATTATCTTATAGTCTGTAACCTGAATATACCCAAGGGCATCAAATTTGTTAGTTCTATTCCACTCGGACGCCACAATATCTGCATAGAAATTGTCCTTGCTAGTAGATTTTTCCCATGAACTCTGGGTGAAGGTTATGTCCTGAATGTGAACAGGCTAATCTCAGGTATTGAATTCCTCAATAGTCAAAGTCAAACATCCATTTGCCTATAAATGTAGCCTCTCTTTATCTTATTGCATGTGATAACTTTAACAGAAACGCTATGTGCAATAATTTCAATGTCTCATCTGGTTGAGTGACATAGAATTTTGTTAAGTTTTCTGCTCTATTAGCAATCTGAAAGCTGGAATATAGAGATCTGAATTGTCGACATCGATGGCCGAGCTCTAAACGTGGATCTCCTTATGGTTTGGCTTAAAATCCGAGCGTATATTATCTGCAGTTGCTCTTTACGAAAAATTGTGGAGTAAAAGGATTAAAAAAGAATCATAATTAGGCATATTTTCTCCGTATTCTAAATCCCAGTTCTCAAACAATAAAAAAAGTATTTACTAAATTAGGCTTAAACTTATACCGTTGCTGTAGGTTATTTTAACCTGATTGTTCAACTATCGTACATACCTTTAGGGCTCATTTGGTGCGACGGATAAGGGCTAATTAACCTGGGAATAAATTTAAGATGAATTTATCTTACGTTTGATTTGGATAAAATTACGGTATAACTAATTCTAGGATTAGTTATCACAGGATTGTAGTGTTATTTCTACCCATATGGGAGGGTGGAATAACAATTCCGAGATAACTACTTCGGGGATAATTAACCCCGAGATAACTTATTTTCCAACCAAACGATGTTGGGATGGGATAGACTAGGATATCCCACCATTTTTAATACAAAATGATAGTTGGATTAATTACTACCCATAGCCAAACACAAGATAAAACGATCTCGCATTTTATTTCGGGATTATTATTCCTTATCCCACCAATCAAATGACACCTTAATGTATATAATTAAACTCTAAAAAAACTAGTCTCTGTTATAAATATATTATATTATGATGTCCATTTAGTACTCCGTTGTAAATAAGCTTCCTGAAGAAGCTTATTCATATTGGACTCCGCTGTAAGTATGTTTATCTATTTAGTACTCTATTGAAAATAAGCCTCCTGAAGAAGCTTATCATTTCGACACTCCACTGTAGAAGATTATTTATAGCTGGTACAATAATAACTTACAAGAAGCTTACACAGCAGCTTGCAGTAGCAGCTTATACAGCAACTTGCAGTAGCAGCTTATAGAGCAGCTTCCTTTCTTCAATAAATAGAAGATATTTCAGTTTATTATTTACATGAGTCTGAAGTTGAATAATATATCAGTTTCTTGCTATACTTGTCTTTACTTTACAGTCTTTATTTTATAACACGTTATCAGCACGAGACTCTGCCATTTTGAGCACTTACCTCGAATTTAATTTCTATTTCAGTGTTCATCTCCGATGTAAGGCGACACTCTTACGTCCATGATTAGATCTTGTTCATTCCGAGCATCATAAGGCAAATTAAAACCTTGAGGTGGTGAGCTTTTCTTCCTAGCGGTAGTGATGTGGATATCACTTATGTCTGGAGTGGCCAAATTTGTGTAAAGTAATTTGAGCCTTTTGCTTATATTTGGTTTAATATCTTTATCATCACTTGCTTGGTTATATGCTACATATACATTACCTGTTTTGATATTTGTTTTCATCCTAATTATCTTAATAAAGGATTACAAAGTGGATAACATTGTTAGATCCACTTAAACTCCAGCAGAGTTTGCAAGAAATATACAATCACCAGAAGTGGTTATGTTTCGTAAATCTCATTGTAACTAAATTTTATTACCTATCAGAAGTGGTATATACTTATGCCCGCTAGAAGTGTTAATTTAGGCTTTCTATGGTTACGATTGAAGATAAGCTACAGAAATATTCACTACATTACATGTACGCCCCGATTTGCTCCTGAAGTAGTAAATATTATAAAAGAGGTTAAAGCATCACAATTTGATGTGATTAATGCGCGTTTAGATAATTATGTTCGATTTCCTAAAGGATGGATTTTTTTTAATAAATATTATTCCATTCCCTGAAGTGAATGTGACAATATTAATGAAGCCGTAAATATGAGCGCGCTATTGATGTAAATATATTACGATTCACCTCCAGAAGAGGTAATATGATTGAGAGAATATATACTCAATATTTCGTATTTTAAATTTGCTCCTGAAGAAGTAACACAATTGAAATTTCCTCCTGAAATAGGAAAATATTATGAAGAGGTGTTTTCTTGTGCTTAAATAATTGTTTTATATTATTTATTTGATTATGATTTTCTCTCATGCTATCAGAAGTGTCTGAGCAATATTTGATAGTACAAAATGTATCAACAACCCCTGAAAAGCTAACTGTTTGTCTAGAAGATACATGACACCAATAATGTTTGATAAATATTAGATTGTGGAAAATAAAAGAAGGCTTTGGAAGAGCTTATATACAAATATGTTATTCATATTATATGATTATGGTCAAAATATATGTTGTAGTAAATCTGAAGTTTACTAATACAAATGGCTATCATATTGAGACTACAAATGTCTGAAAGATTGAAAATCTTCATGTTTCCACAATCATAGGGGGTAAAATAATATGTATGTGAGAAATTACCTGCCTTATTCTTCAATTTGTACTATATCATGTATCACAGTAAATCAGAAGTTTACTAATGCAAAAGTTTATGTCATAGTAAACCAGAAGTTTACTAAGATATAGCACATGCCATGATAAAGTTGAAGTTTTCATTTGCCATTTTAAAATGATCGATCTGAGAATTCAGATAAGCATATACTGAAGAGCTAGAAGATTCTTCAAGAATTCTCTTGTGTTGCTTGTTCTCATAATAAATTGATTATACCAGTTAAAGTTGGTACTAAGACCCCTGAATTCAGAAATATATATAAGGTGAATATGTGCCCATTCACCTATCATGTGAACCATTTATAGATGCATATATGACATGATTACATGTGTGTTTATTGTCTACCTGCAGTTTGGCATTTGAAATTACTTTTCTCAATTAAGAGCATAATTTTCAGATTATGAAATCAATATAGTTCATCTTGATGATGCTGGTTAATAACCAAGCTAGTTTAGCATTGAATACCTCCTATTAATGGCTAAACTATTGCTTATGAGAACAAAACTTCATATGTTGGTCTAAGATTATCTAAATTGCATACAACAACACTTGTATGCATCAGACCAACAATATATGATAAATCCTCCCCTCACAATTGGTGTATGATCAGAAACTAAATATTTTTACTATCTAATAACTTTTGGTGTGCGGTATATAATTAATTTCTCTACCACAATGCACAAAGATAGGTTACCCAAAGAAGATTGGGGATATATATTCTAACATTTAGGGGATAGAATAAACATTTGAAATATATGTTATATCAACCGAATTATCATTAATATGATCCTCACTTAGAAGATAATTCAAGTCAAATGCTAGAAGCATTTGCTGATCCAAAATTAAATATCATATTTCAGCTGCAAATGCTCCTATTAAAACTAAAATCCCTGAAGGATAATTTTTACTGCACGCACGAAGCGTAGTAAATTGATTGGTTCCAAAGGTAACAACCCTTAAAAATGATAGGAGCAAATGATCAAAATGATCATAATGAGGAGGAAACGAGCTCTAGAAGAGCCCACGACATAACATTTCATGAAACTCCAGAAGAAGTTCAGGTACTTGAAAATAAAAAGATGAGATCTAAACAAGTTATATCGCTTAGGAACCGATACAAAATGATCGTCAACGATATATTTGATACAATATTGTAAACGATTGTGAGGATCAGACTTGTATTCGAGACACCTGAAGATGCCATGCCATTTAAATACAAGCCATAACCTATATGACTCATTTGATTAAATCTATATGAAGATCCATGAAGGGTTTAAAATGCTTGAAGCATATAATTCAAAGTCTCGAGAAAAGTACTCGATCAAATTACAAAGATCTTTGTACGGTTTAAATCAATCTGGGCGCATGTGATAAAATCGCCTTAGTGAATATTTGCTGAAAGAAGATTACATAAATGATGTTATTTGTCCATGTATTTTTATAAAGAAAATGGCATTAGAATTTGTTATACTTGTTGTTTATGTTGATGACATAAATCTTGGTGGAACTCCAGAAGAGCTCCAAAAGGCAATTAAATATCTTAAGAAAGAGTTTGAGATGAAAGATCCTGGAAAAATAAAATTTTGTCTTGGTCTGCAAATTGAATATTTAGCAGACGAGATCTTTATCCATTAATCTGCCTATACAGAAATGGTCTTTAAGCGCTTTTACATGGACAAAGCGCACCCATTAAGTACACCAACGGGTGTTCGATCACTTGAAGTGAATAAAGATCTGTTCCGACCTCCAAAAGAGGATGAGGAACTCCTTGGTCCTGAAATTCTCTATATCAGTACAATTGGTGCACTTGTGTATCTTGCTAATGCTAATAAAGGTGGTGCAAATCGTATTGGTTATGTAGATGCAGGTTAATTATCTAATCCCCATAAAGCTCGATCTGAAACCGGGTATGTGTTTACATGTGGAGGTACTGTCATATCATGGCGCTCCATAAGTGTTGCTACTTCTTCGAATTATGCCGAGATAATAGCGATTCATGAAACAAGTAGGGAATGCGTATGGTTGAGATCAATAATTCATTGTATTCGAGAAAATGTGGGTTGAAATTTGATAAAAGACCCACAATATTATAAGAAGTCAATACTTCATGCATTGCCCAATGGAAGAGAGGATTTATAAAAGGAGATAGAACAAAGCGCATTTCACCAAAATTATTCTACACCTACGATCTCCAGAAGAATGGTGATATCGATGTGTAGCAAATCCGTTCAAGTGATAATCCAGAAGATTTATTCACTAAATCTTTACCAACTTCAACTTTTCAGAAGATAGTATACAAGATTGAAATGCGGAGACTCAAATATTTGAAACAAGGTTTTCATCAAGGGGATAAAGTATGCGTTGTACTCTTTTTCCCTTTCTAAGAGTTTTTCCACATGGTTTTTCTTATAAGGTTTTTCATGAGGCAACTAACAATGCGTATTACTAGATATGTGTACTCTTTTTCTTCACTAAAATTTTTTCCCACGGGTTTTTCCTAGTAAAGTTTTAATGAGGCACATTATCTTTTAATGAACATCCAAGGGGAGTATTATAAATATGTGGATAAATATTACTCCTATAGAAGATTATCTATAGCTGGTACAATAATAGCTTACAAATAGCTTACATAGCAGCTTACGCAGCAACTTGCATTAGCATCTTATAAAGCTTCTTCAATAAATAAAAGAGATTTTAGTTTATTATGTACATGAGTCTAAAATTAAATAATATATCAATTTCTCTTTATACTTATCTTTACTTTACCGTCTTTATTTTATAACAATCTCCTTTTATCTCCATTTCCTTTCTTTGGCTTCCCATAGTGACACGTTGGAAAGTCTCTTTGCGTGAGTTATGTTCCACCTTTCTTACTTTCAAGAGTCGTGCCTTATTCTCTATTCTAATATGATCTAGAACATCAAAAGAATGAAAAACCAAATACGTGTGTTTGGTAAATTATCTTTCTTAGGAGCGAAAATAATTTTTTTTTTATATATATATA